GTTAACAGCAAGTTTACAGTATATCGTATAATACAAAAGCAATATCACTGATATTATCACAAGACTCAAGTACTGTACATGGTCTAATAGATGTTTCTTAGTCAGCACTCAGCAACTATGCTCTTTGACATTGTGGCAATCAGGTATTCTTGGGGCTTTTAGCTTGGTTTTTCACTTTTTTGATACAACTATAGAATACCCACAACTTTCACACCTTACCGCTATTAATTCCTTGTAAACATTGTCAATTTACTCAAAATTGATCTAATATGATTGCCTCATTCTTCAAAACCCCCCAGTCAAATTTGAACCAAACTAACATACTCATATGATTTAATCTCTAAACTTTACCCTTAAACTATTTTGAAGTGATTCTTGTACTTATTTATGTGTCAATGAATGCGGAAAATGGCGAGGTATTCTACAAGCATTCCAGCATGTGTGTTTTTGAACCTTCACTGTTGAGAGAGCATGCCATGGGTCTCCCCAAATTATCTGAGCACTTCAACCAGACCCGAACAGCTGCCAAATGGCAACTACTATGCTCAGAGGTGTAACTTAACACTTGCCCGGGGCAAGTGAATATCATGATGGGCAAGTAAAAGTTTCCTCTAGGTTGCCCGAACGGGCAAGTTGCTTTGCCACAAAAAGCTGCCCAGCTTTCAGTTCATATTATTATTGTCGGATAAAATAAAGGCTGTTCGACGACATTGGTTCAAGCTGGCAAATCATCTGCATCAAATTCATCTAAATTGTTTGATTATATTATGCATTGATTCTCTTTTTGGTTATTAAATGTTTATTCATGATATGATAACGAATATGGCAGGATTTAATTTATGGCAGGACTTAATTTGGGACTTTATTAGTCCTGTTGTCTGTGCCTTCAATTTCTTATTGTAAAACTAATAAAAAAAAATAATGGTGATTAGTGTTACATTAAATAAGTGTACTTGATTCAAATTTTGTTTAATATGTGAGCCAAAGCTAGATCTGAGGTAGTCTAGATCTGAGGCAGTAACATAGCCAATGCCACTAGTCCAATGTATGGATATGTTGTCTCTCTAATTTATACTGGCCCGCGTAGGTACCCCATTGCCTGATGGCAAGTGGATTTTATTCAGGGCAACCAATTTTCATGTCCAACTTGCCCTGAGGGCAAGTGGTCAAAAAAGTTAAGTTACACCACTGATGCTGTATACAAATTATATACCTGAAAGGTAACTTACATCATATTGGGTCATTTAAATACTAATACTTGTATTCTCACAGTGTATTAAGATATACAAATGCACTTGTGATTCCCAAAGAATTGCCACAAAAAAAAACATAAACCACATATCAGTCAATTTCAGTAAGTATGGCACACTGGGGCACATTGCAGCTCAATGGGTTAACTAGAGACATTGTCAGATTTTGGTTAATAACCATAATTGCAAGAGGTCAGTACAGTCTGTAACAATAAGTAATTCAGGAATTCACACAATTCTCAATAGTTAAATGATTATCGGATTTCATGTTAAATGATTATCGGATAATGTTGAGCATCAAGAATATATGTATAATGGGTCGTTTCAGAAAACATCGTCAACATCCACACTCCCCCCACGGAGGAAATTTCTGCCGTCCGGAGGGGGAGGGCAGACAAAATTGTTTCTGATAATAGTAAACGTATTAGGACATCCGAAGGGGGTAGGGGGGTTAACTTCCAATTTCCTCCGTGGGGGTGGTATGGATGTTTTCTGAAATGACCCAATATATCCTTCATACATTTATAATAATATTCAGGCTAAATACTGTATCATAGTTTATCAGGTATAAAGATACGAGGTGAAGCCAAGTACCTTTAGGTCTGATAAAGCATACACTGCGAATGTTTTAAATTGCTCAATTGATGGTCCCCAAAACAAATAGTACTTTATTACAAGGCGGCAAAATGTATTTAAATTAAAAGAGATGAATAATCTTGTCACTTGATACATTTGACACCAGGTGTCTTGTATTTGTCCATAAGAGACCCCTTGTTATTGTATCATGTTTTGAGAATGAGTTCAATTTTGATATTTGTTGATCTGAGCAAAATATTGATATTTGATTTGCCTACTGAGGCACACAGTATTGAACAGTCAATTGTGGTGAGTGATGCTGAACTGCCTGTTGTATGTTGTGAGTGATTTTGAGCGCCTGTTGTGATGAGTGACACTGAATTGCCCCAATTGTGGCTCAGGAAAAAATGTACCTGCTGACTTGTCAAATAATCTCCTTAAATAATGTTCTGGGAAGTAATTTGTGTAATTGATTACAAACAAAAACAAGAGCTTGTTAACAGTATGAGGAAATTGATTCCATCTCATTATATTATTCAGCCTTGATAAAGCATATGGAGGCTTTCTGTCTGATTTGACCCTCATGCATGTAATTGTTTGGGAATGCCTGATCATTAAGATCACAATATTTGTTTTGAAGCTTGGCCTTTGAAATCTAAACCCAAAGCACTATATGTGTGTTCACAATGTTCTTGGGATAAGAATGAAAATCAAATAAAATATTTCAACTCAATTAAATTCAGGAAATGTTAATTAACCATGGAGGTCAACCAGGTTATACTCAGGGCATATGGCTAACATAAGCATTTAAATTCCAAGTGCATACGATGTTAACATTCCTTGTTTTTCAGACATTCTTTGGGTCTTGTACTCCCTTTAACTGTTAAATATACTGTATGATATTGACATTTGCAAGAAAGATCTATTGTAGCAACAATAACTATTAAATGTTTTGATGATCATGGATATGGTGTGTTGAGAGTCCATATTATTAAATTAAAGTGATTTTACATATCTGTTTCACAATCGAGGCAGCAATTTCCTTGCGACAGTAATTCATAGTATAAATACTTCTATCGATCCATTCGTTTTGCACTGTTGCTTTGTCTATTTAATAGATCTCCTTTGCAGTTCAACCAAGGTTCTCAGAGCTAATTTGAAGACAATTTCAAATTTATTCAATATTTTTGGAAGAACTTTAACAGATTTTTTCATTTTAAAATAGATTTTTGTTCTTTATTTGTCGATTTCGGTGTTTATGAATATTGACGAATATATTGTAGCTAAAGCGATCCGCGATCGCACCCCCCTGTATAGTATTTGCTCCGATATATCACGTGACAAAATAATCCACAATTTGTGGATTATTTCACCAGCCTTTACCAGGGCCTTAGCTGCCCTTCGCATCTTTCCTCAAAAGGCCCTGGGGACGAGGTTGTCCCTATATACTGTATGAAGTTGCAAGTTCAATTCGAGTTAAGGCCCATACAGACCGGACGCGTTTGGCAACGCGACGCGAATTTCCAGTTTTCAATGGTATTTAACTTTAATATTTTTCAATGTTTTTGATATAGTCGTAACCACTACTGAAGCAATTTTATCCGTTGACGGTTTTACTTGTTTTTGAAAACTGAAAATTCGCGTCGCTTTGGTCCGGTCTGTGTGGGCCTTTAGGTCCAGATTTTCACTGACCGATAACTTTGATTCTAGTTTAAATTTTCCAACATTTTGAGTTATTTGGTCTACATTCTTTCAAAATTTGCTCTCATTGGCTGTTTTATTAACTTTCAAAAACTAAAAAATCGCGTCGCGTTGTCGAATCGCGTCCGGACCTTAACACTTACATTACCCCCAACGCCCCTTATACCTTCTTATTCCACTCTGTCTAACGCCAGACAATTTTTCTCGTCAAGTGGAAATGAAAGAACTGGAGCTCAATGAGTTAACTGAAAGTATAAATTCAATAGAGTACATTTATTTAATATAAACAGACGTATAATTGTTTTTAATAACATGCAAAACTGTACAATTCCTACACAACAGTGACGTATAGTAGCTATACGTGTTTTGGAAATGCAATTATTTAATAGTTAATTCAATAAATCAATAACAATGACGGATTATTGTGGTAAGCTCTTTATAATTTCAGCGCAAGCGATCGGTAGTCCGTTTGCTGTGACCTCGAAAAGTGCCTAGAAAACGATATTCATTAAGCATGTCTTCGAACTGAAATATTTTTATGCGGGAACTAGTAACACTTTCGAACACGCTGAGTTCAAATCCGAAAACTTTCGGCACCTTATAAAATCCGCAGTTTTCTCACAAACTGCTATTTTATCTTCACTAATTTCACAACAAATTTTTTCATTGTTCAGTGACACGGATGGATGAAAACACGGCACGATTGCATAACCCAAAATGACTAATTTCTATGAAGCAGTCTCTACATTGAACAAAAGACCGCTTTGCTTGGATCATTTCGGTTTTGAGTTATGTAATTTTAAGCGCGTTGGACGTAAACAGCATAATGTCTTGTCCACAACTTTGAGAAGGTACCGATATCGCTTTGTAAAATTAATCTTCATTTCGAGGCTGTATCTCTGTAAAATCACAAGGACGTCAATGTTAAGGCGTTGGGCTATATCTCTGGGATGAGAAATAATTCATTATTACATGCGATCAAAATGTTTTATACAATGATGTAAAACGGTAATTTTATGGAATGGGTCAGCATTTATGCACTAGTCAATTGAAACCCCGGCCCCGACCACCGGGATAGGGCGGAGAAATTAACACTTTTACAGTTAATGATTGGCTAGGATTATGAACTATTTCGTGTGATTTGTCGCTCCAGATTTGGCACCCCCGGCCGCGGCCAAAATTCTGGAAATTTGGCCGGGGATTTCAAGCTCAAATTTGTCAAATTCTTTCTATTATTGTCTTATAATTGTCAAGATTCAGGGAACCTTAGCAAAACTAAAAACTAGTAAAAACGTAGTAAAAACGTAGTAAAAACTAAAAACACTGTTGATTCAACAGTGTTGAATAGTATAGTTTAATGAATATCAATGTATATTATCATGTAACTATTGTTCAGAGTCCAGACTCCAGAGACCATTCATCATTGTGTCTAGTTCTGTAGTCCCACTGGCCATAGTCCATAGTCTCTACTCTTCAGTCTTCATCGTCGCTCATGATTATTTCGACGTCACTCGTCTCGTCATCATGAACCTCTCCCACCACTGCCTCTGGCAGGTTCCCCTCGTTGGGGGCAACGAAGTCATCCGTTACCCTGGGTAGGTCCGTTTTGTATCTTAGTGGTCGAATATTGTACTTCAAGAATAGATTCGCTTCCATGTTATCAGGTTTTAGCGAAAGCCTCTTCGTCCCAAGAACGTTCTTTCCCGTACTGAATAGCCTCTCTGATGCAGCACTTCCTGGAGGAGGGTACAGGTAGCGGCGCGCCAAAGTTCCTAGATGTGGGAATTCGTTGTGTTTTACTCTCCAGTATATCAGTGGATCCTTTGTCAAGTCAGCTATTCTTTTTTCTTTGAGGTATCGTTGTAGTTCCACCCTGTAGGGTGCCTCCATCTCTTCATCTTGTGAATCCTGACCCGAGTCATTGTCAACAAGAACCGCAGCCCAACTATCTTTGCTGGTTGAAGGTTCGTCTTCGCCACTCTCTACCTCATGTCTTGGTTCCGCAACCTCCGCTAAATCGCTGGGAGTGGTAAATAGGAAAATAGCTATTATGTTATGTATAAACTAATAAAACTATGTAATGTATTACGTAAATTTAATTATCTGCATTTGGAAAATCACCGACCCCAGTGTGTGATACTGTGAAAACTTCGTGAGAATTAAGAAAAATTTGAAATTGACATTGAAATTGACATTGAAATTGACTGTAGGTACTATTAGTCTATTACTGTTACTAATAGACTAATAAATAATAACAATGGGGTGTGTGAAGAAATATTTACCTGGTTTTCCGAATTATTTATTAGTCTACCTGAACTTTTCCGAATTATTTATTAGTTTACAGCGCAAGTCACTAAGTCCACTTGGACTGAAATGTAAACTTCAACGTATTAAAGAGCATTGCTTAATTCTACTTTTCAAATTTACATCCAAGAATACATTCATAATAGACAGGTGAGTAAGTTAATAAAAGCACGTATTAGCGCCTGAGTGGTATGAGTCGCATGACAAATCAAGTAAAAGTTAAAACAGTCTAAAAAAATCGACAAAATTATATCGAAAGCAACAAACAGAAAAGATACGTACCATTTATTCTCGTAAAATGTTTCCAATATGGCTGACAATAACAATAAACCGCTGTCCAGTAAATTCCACTGGCCTTTCCAAATCCCGCTTAAATAACATCGCTCAACATCACATTATTCAATGTTCGACCAGTCCCCGGCCCCGGCCAAAATCATGCACCCCCGGCCCCGGTCCGCCCCGGCCAAAATCATGCCCCCGGTCGACCACTGATACCATCGGTAAATAATGAATGTTCACCGGTACCGACGGTAAGCCAATATCCCATCGGTAAATAGAGATTGTCGATCGGTACCGATAGAGAAATGAATTCACCATCGGTAAATTTGTAAAGTCCAGTGGTGAATGAAGTTGTTAGCAATATTGCTATGGCATGAGGTAGCCCTCCAAAACACTGTCCGTCGGTACCGTCGGTACCGATGGTAAGCCAATTCACCATCGGTAAATAGAGATTCTCTATCGGTACCGATGGAGAAATGAATTCACCATCGGTAAACTTGTAAAGTCCGTTGGTGAATGAGGTAGTTAGCATTATTGCGATGGCATAAGGTAGCCCTCCAAAACACTGTCCGTCGGTACCGTCGGTACCAATGGTAAGCCAATTCACCATCGGTAAATAGAGATTGTCCATCGGTACGGATGGAGAAATGAATTCACCATCAGTAAATTTGTAAAGTCCGTTGGTGAATGAGGTAGTTAGCATTATTGCAATGGCATAAGGTAGCCCTCCAAAACACTGTCCGTCGGTACCGTCGGTACCAATGGTAAGCCAATTCACCATCGGTAAATAGAGATTGTCCATCGGTACGGATGGAGAAATGAATTCACCATCAGTAAATTTGTAAAGTCCGTTGGTGAATGAGGTAGTTAGCATTATTGCAATGGCATAAGGTAGCCCTCCAAAACACTGTCCGTCGGTACCGTCGGTACCAATGGTAAGCCAATTCACCATCGGTAAATAGAGATTGTCCATCGGTACGGATGGAGAAATGAATTCACCATCAGTAAATTTGTAAAGTCCGTTGGTGAATGAGGTAGTTAGCATTATTGCAATGGCATAAGGTAGCCCTCCAAAACACTGTCCGTCGGTACCGTCGGTACCAATGGTAAGCCAATTCACCATCGGTAAATAGAGATTGTCCATCGGTACGGATGGAGAAATGAATTCACCATCAGTAAATTTGTAAAGTCCGTTGGTGAATGAGGTAGTTAGCATTATTGCAATGGCATAAGGTAGCCCTCCAAAACACTGTCCGTCGGTACCGTCGGTACCAATGGTAAGCCAATTCACCATCGGTAAATAGAGATTGTCCATCGGTACGGATGGAGAAATGAATTCACCATCAGTAAATTTGTAAAGTCCGTTGGTGAATGAGGTAGTTAGCATTATTGCAATGGCATAAGGTAGCCCTCCAAAACACTGTCCGTCGGTACCGTCGGTACCAATGGTAAGCCTATTCACCATTGGTAAATAGAGATTGTCCATCGGTACGGATGGAGAAATGAATTCACCATCGGTAAATTTGTAAAGTCCGTTGGTGAATGAGATAGTTAGCATTACTGCAATGGTATAAGGTAGCCCTCCAAAACACTGTCCGTCGGTACCGTCGGTACCGTCGGTACCGATGGTAAGCCAATTTACGATCGGTCATAAGATATCGCGAGTTTGTTTAAGTCTTAATCTACAGGACTATACTATATAGTTATCAATTGAAATTACCGATGGTAAATCACTTATTTTGGCCATTTGGTAAGCGTGCCTATCCATGCTCAGCTGGAGTTCACGAAACGAAAACATATTTAGCGATGGTAAATCACTTATTTTCCGTTCGTACCGACGGTACCGGCCCGTACCGACGGTACCGATGGTAAAGCCATTTGGTGAGCGTGCCTATCCATGCTCAGCTGCCGTTCACGAAACGAAAATATATATTACCGATGGTGAATAATCTTTTCCGTCGGTATGTTTGCGAGAGTTATCCATGCTCATCTGGAGTTCACGAAACGAAAATATATATATTACCGATGGTGAATAATCTTTTCCGTCAGTATGCTTGCGAGAGTATTGGACATGTATGGGTCGTTGATGGGCTTTTCCTTCTTCGCAATGAAGTTACTGTACATGTGCCTGGCTTTCAATAAATGTTCTTCCTTTTTCAAGTTGCATCCTGTATATAAGTCAAAAAGATATGTGATCATGGGAAAGACTATTATTGATAAGAAGTAGCTTGTTATCAAAAGATTGAAGATTGTTATCAAAAGCTTGAAGATTGTTATCTCAGTCGGCAAAACTGGATTGGCTAAAGATAACCACTGAAGAAACCAACCGAATATCAAGAATAACATGCATCAAAGGAACCACACATGCAGCAATGCAAATTTTTTCGAATACAGTATTTTCACTTCTGGCAGCTAGTCCAAAAATATAATATTATTGAAATCATAATTAGGTAATTAAATTTGTTTGGTGGTTGTTGTTGTTGTTGTTGTTGTTGTTGTTGTTGTTGTTGTTGTTGTTGTTGTTGTTGTTGTTGTTGTTGTTGTTGTTGTTGTTGTTGTTGTTGTTGTTGTTGCTTATTATACTGTTCTATAAAAGAGGCAATAAAGTCGGTTTTCCACTAGCGAATTTTCTCGCACGAAGCGACCTTTTTCCTTTGTCGGTATTGTAGCTTCATCCGGATAGAAATAAATGTTTGAACAAAATCCAAATGAATCTACTGGGGGTAGACGCGGTGCGTTGAATAAATCGAACTCGACGTTAGAATTTTGACAAAAAGGTTATAACAATTTAATAAACAGATAACAGGATATATACAGGTGTGAAATATGTACAATACAATGATATCACGATACGACGACTTGTTGGGAATGAGGTGTCGAAATGTGAAATCGATGTTGTAGGTTTTAGTTGGTAGGATCAAATTCAATATCAAGACGTTGAATCACTTGAATGTTGATAAATCGCAGTTTTAGATCATTTAGATTGTCGTTTATCGTGGTATATTGTCCTTGTAGATGATATACTATCGATAGATATAGTATGGTTGATATAGAATCACATAGAATAGAGTAGAATCGATCGAGTAGAATCGTAACGTGTTGAATCGATCGGATAGAATCGGTCGCGGATAGAATCGGTTCGAATTTGGTTTGCTAACGCACCAAACTTTAACTTTTAATAGCGTAGATATATGTGTAGCTTCTTCTTTCAAGCCAAGATAGAGTAAAGGTAGACGGTCTTCCTAACGTGGATAGAACTTGGCCAATACAGGGCCCAAAACAACTATTGCTTACTCACAAGCGTCCGCGTTAAAGACTTATTGCAGAATGAAGTTTACAAGTTGGGTAGACTGTTTTTGCGCAAAACAAACCGGAATTTACTGCGTAATCTACAAACCTATGTTTTTTTCGCAACGGACATAGCGTGGCTAGGCTAGGCAACCGCATTACGCATTTGCTGACCATACTTACGCATTTTGATGGGAACTTTTGCTTATAGCGGAAAATAACAACTTCTTTGTTTCCCATCGAACCTTTTCGAAAACATTAATTTGACCTTCCGTTTCGAAACCAACAGGTATCACTTATTACGTCAGCAAGACGTGGCAAAATCGGTCCTCGAAAACGAGGTCGGCATTCGGCAATGCCGGGCTAAATTTTGCCCACCTTAATTCAACCAAAGTAAGAATTTTTTATGCTGATAGCTTTTAAAATGACAGCGAATTCGATTAACTGAACACACTACGGTGTAAGGTTTAAAAACTGACGGGTATTGTGTATATACGTTAGATGTTTGAAGATCAAATTTCGCGCATCAGCTGGAGTCAAAATTTGGCTCCAACTTTCGAATTTCCCGGCTGGAGGTAACGTTCCAGTTATATTCCGATTTCAATTATTCGTAAATGTGTGATTAATAGTGCTCCAAGACGTGGAACAGATTTAAAAAAATGCCGAGATGTGCCGACCTAGGTCAGATTTAGGTCGGCCCTCTTTTGCCGACCTCAATTTTGACGGTTTTGACTTTTCGAGGGCTGCAAAATGGATGCCGACAAAGGAAAAAGGTCGCTTCGCGCAGAAAAATTCGCTAGTGGAAAACCGACTTAATAGAGGGTAATAAAGCGCATTTAAACATGCACATTTACTATAGATGGCCCTGAAAGGGTAAAATGGGAACTGGGATTGATCTATTTTTAGACTGGGAAAATGGGATTTGGGTTGCTGGGACTGGGATTTGGCCACTGGGAATGGAAAATGAAGTCCTCAAAAATGGGGATGGGATTGAAGTAGTGTGAGTCGATTCCCAATTTTGATCCGTTTTTTGTGTCTTTAGTCATGATTTTTGTTGTTAACTATATTATTCACAGCATTACCTGCGAACAGGCATACTCTGGCGCCCGGAATTTTGGGTTTTCTGATTATGCGTGTCTCAGAATAATGCAAATGCCATTTCCGGGATTCAAATTTAAAAATTTTCCGTGCCTTCGGCACGAGCCTCCCCCCTCAATATTTAATAAAGTGTCCGCCACTTGCACACATGGTGGCTTAAAAGGTCTTAAAACTGTTTATTCTACCGATAAATAAAGGGTTTTTTATTGACTGGGATTTCAATAACTCGGACTGGGATTTCTAATAAAAATCCAACTGGGACTGGGATTTTGCCAAAATTTCAGGTGGAAAATGGGATTGGGACCCCCCCCCCCTTCAGGACCCTCACTATAGGCTAATGACTCGGCAAAATTACCAAACAACAGTCGGCAAAAGATCACTCACACACCCCCACTCGAAGAGGGTTAGCGCCGCCCCTGAATCCCTGCAGGTAAGCCCACGTCTCCATTTGGTTGTTCTTGTACAGCCCCCAAAATAGTGTCCTTTTCCACCAATATATGGATCTTGGTTCTCCTTGTTTTCGGTAGTTTTGCTTTTGGCAGGAAATTCCTGTGGCTTCCGTGGCCGTCCCACGTTTCTTTCATTTTTAGCTAACTGTTTTTAAAGAAAATAAAAATTATAGAAGGCGAAAACTTACCGGTTTATGTGAAAATGTAAAAAAAAACCTTTTCCATGCAGTTTTATATTGCCGACGAGGAATGAAACTGAAACAGTAAAACAGTACACGACATGGCATATTATACTCACATGAGAAGACGTTTTCCCCGTTTTCTTATAAATAAAAACATATCGAAAACAAGTAGGATATAACACTGAGTGTGTCGGGCTATCCTCGTTGTACGTAACACCGAAACACCGTAGTAAAACTTCGGCTGACGGGAGCGTTTTTCCTGTCGTTTTTTTCTCAACTTTCTTCTTACAAACCAAACACTTCTCATGAGAAAACGCAGAAATTATATATATACAAACAAAAAACAAAATTAGAACCCATGTTGAAAGTTTCATTGCCATTTCCTTTTACTTTTTATTCATATTTAAATCAGTAAGTTTAAGATAGTTTGTTTACAAATTGGACTTTAAAATTCCCGCCACTGTTCTAATTTCCGCGACAACCTCGCGATTCGTATACTACACGCTTTTTCCTACCAGCGGATGCGATGTATATATATATATATATATATATATATATATATATATATATATATATATATATATATATATATATATATATATATATATATATATATATATACTTCTTCTTATATATATATACTTCTTCTTATATATATACACTTCTTCTTATATATATACACTTCTTCTTATACAGGCTCTTCATCTTTCGAATCTCTGTATAGGAACCGTAGTGCTGGAAGGTCTTCTTCTACTACTCGTATCTGCAGGAACATGTCTTTAATGTCTGAGCATAGTGCTATACGTCCTTGTCTGAACCTGAGTAACACACCAAACAGCGGATTTAGTAGATCTGGACCCGTGTAAATAAAATCGTTTAAAGACTTCCCATCGTATTTCGCTGCCGCATTGTACAAGCGCCGTACTTTGCCCGGCTTCTTTGGGTTTCTCACGGGATGATGCGTCAAGTAGTTTGTTCTGTTACTGACTGTCATCTGTACTTCATGTTTATCTAGCTTCCTTATGTACCCCTTCTCCACGTCATTGGTGATAGATGCCTGATAAGCTTCCTTTAGCTGTGGATCACGATCTAGGCGGCGTTCGAGTGCGTGTAGCTGCGCTTCTGCTGCCTTTCGATTGTTCGGAAGTACGACCTCCGGATCTCTCCACAGAATTCCTGATTCAAAAGCGTCACCTGATGGTAATCTTTTTGTAGTTGTGTGCAAGATATCTAATGCTTTCTGGTCTTCTATTGAGCGGATTTCAGTCTTCTTTCTCACAGGTGGGATGGTCTCCATGTTGATCCACTGCTCGAGTTGCCATTGAAAGTCCCCGTTGGTTCTAAGTTCAGTTGTATGTTCCACATCAAGACATCGAACATGCACATCGGAATCATCCTCCGATGGAAGAATTGCGAAAGCTAACCAACCGAGTCGTGTACGGATGGCGATTGAAGTTCCACGGGGTCCTTCTCGCGTTTCCAGCGGGGCTTGAAGGAAATAAGAATCCACTCCAATTGCCAATTGCAATTCAGCCGCATCAACGGGTTGGAGATCAAGGTCCTTCAAATGATCAAACCTTGTTTTTGCTGTCCAATCAACTGCATATGTGGGATTATTCATTTGTGGAACCGTAAGAACTTTGTCGATGGTATACTTACTTCTTCGCCTCCCTGTGCCAGATATTGTCAGGTTGCGTATTACGAATGATTTTACCGTTTCATCTGTATTTGCTCCTCCGAGTACTAACTGATTTGTTTGCCCCGAGAATCCTAATTGGTGGGCTAGTTCTTCCTTTATAAGTGTCGCGTTTGATCCACTGTTCAACATTGCCATCGTCTTCCTTTTCCCACTCGGCCCATACAGAATAACAGGTATGATCTGATGGACAATTCTTTGTTGACTTGCTGCAGCTCGTCCGGTATGTACTTCATTGGAAGATTGGTTTTCTTTGACTGGAACTTCTTCCTTTTTCTTCTCTTGACTAGTTTTCGTCCCTGAGCCTTGTTCTCCTGCCAGGTCTGCATCTGGTGGTTTGTACCTTCTTTCAGGAAACCGGGGGTAAATACCAACGCCATGGAGTAAGTAGTGATTATTCTGCTGGCAATTGTCAACAGTACATTTCAGTTTCTCCTTACATTGCTTTCGGATGTGCTTTCCAAAACAGTTTAGACAAAGTCCTTTGTCTCTAATGATCTTTTCTTTGTCCTTGCAACTCAATGATTTGAACATTCGGCATTGTTCCAGTGGGTAGTGTCCTTTCTCGTGGAAAGGGCACGCCCTTTGTTCCGTGTGATGTGCATCGGTTCTGTAGTTGGATCTTCTGTAGACAGATTTTGCTTCACGTTGACTTTTTTTTGCAGAGGGTCCACAAATGCACGTTCCCACATCTTAGATTTGTCTTTCTAAAGGTCTCCAGCATAGTTCGCTTTGGATCATCACCTTCGTATCTTGCCCATGCTAACTTTAAAGAAGGTGGTAACTTCCTGACAGCTTCTCTCACATGGTAACTAGATTGTATTTCGGCTTCCTTCCCCAGTGACTCAAACACCGCCACCAAACTGGAAATTGTTTCCGCCAACGCCCTCAGCTGCTCCACATTTCTTTCACTGACTGAATTTTCGCAATTCATCATCATATGTTTAGATTATTTGGGTTGGTTCACCGAATCGTTCTTTCAAGATGTCCCAAGCCCTAGTATATTTTCCGCTACCCAGTAGTATACCCCGAAGAGTGTTCTCTGCCTTTCCAGTTGTATGTGTTAGTAATAAGTCCAAAAGCTCATCCTCGGTATAATGTTTTTCCTGTTCCAATTTCTTGAATGTTGCTCTGAAGGCTGTGTATTTGCTCAGGGTTCCATCAAACTTCTTAATCTGCGGATCTCTTGTCTTGAGAATTGCTTCTGCCAGTTTGACAAGAACACCGTCACTCTGTGTGGTTGCTGGGCCAAGAATTGGTGATGGTTTACAATGCACTTCCGTTCTCTGCTGAGAGGTTACTTCCACTTGAGCTATATTAATTCAGTACCTAACAATGTTGATTATTTCGCGTCCTCTGATATTTATATCCCATGTCAGTCAATCCATTATTAAAATGTGCCAAGGGGTTATAGCAGACAACAACCAGTGATGACTATAAATGAAATAAAATCCAATAACATAAGAAAATAAATAGGAATAAGTCCAAAATCTTAAATCAATAAGAAATGAAGATTGTGCAATCAAATGTAGCTTTTACTTTCTGTTTATTGGAATGAACAGGTAGTCTTGGTCAAGCATATCTGGTTTGATGAACATTTCTGCTCTTTCATTTCTTTCATTTCTAAGAAAAGATTGATACATAATATATTATATGCAATACTACGTAATGTAACCATAATATATAAAGTACAAATGATATTTTGGGTTGAGCAGTAATCTATCAACTTAAAGTATTAAACTGATAATGTACCTTGCAATTGTTCTTTGCTTTTCAAACTGATAATGTACCTTGTTCTTTTTCTTGCTACCCACAAAGGACTGCGTAAACATGTGCTTACAATGGGAAACTGGCAACACAATTCCCTAAAGAAAAATTTTGTATGACAACATTGTAAATAAATTTTTAATGTCTGATAAAATTATCAATTAATATGTCAAACCGGTGAGTTTAGTTGTCTTGAACTTCAAGTCATGGGGCAAATATATTGGTCATCAGACATTAGGTGATTTGTTAAATGTTACTCCATTAAAATAGAAACAATGATGTCATTAATCATTGTTTGAGGTAAGAGGCCATCGACACATGATTGGTATATGGTAATTCCATTCAGCTTAATTGATGGAATTCCATCATTGCCCATCAGTTCACCATCACTGGGTATCACTATTGGGGTACCTGTACTTGTTGGCAACTTGGGTGTTGAAACAATTGGAACACATGGTGACAGCTCACTAACAGGAGGTTTAACGACATCTGGTTCAATATCTTTATTCCCTATAAAAAGATCATAGTTTACAATGAAAACTTGTATATCCAAATATGTTCCAGACGAACAACAAAATTGCTACACTTGCAACATCAGGGCATGTTGATTAGAAATATTAGCAACACCCAAGACAAAAATCAACCAGCAATCTTGTTGCTCGTGGTAACATCACCTTAAGGGCAGTTAATTTATATAGCCCCCAAATTTAACCTTGTTAACCCATTGAGTAACATTGCGCTCTGATGCGCTCTACTTTATTATTTTACTCTGTCTAATACCAGACTATTTTACTCTGTCTAACACCAGATGATTTTACTCATCAAGGGGAGAGCGCTGGCGCTTAATGGGTTAAAGGGTTTATAAGTATTTACAGATTACAGATACACAATTTTAATTAGTTTCCTACGTATCTTTATGTGCATTGCTCAGCCTGTTTGTCATGAGTGGTAAAACATGGTGCATCCAAAATCTTTCAAGCTTTGCAAGAGCATTTTCCATACAAGTTTCATCATATGGTATAGAAACAGACAGGACACCATGTTCAGTCCATACTACAAAGTCGCAACTATCCAATTCTGTTACAAACATCTCTAATTGAACTTGCATGTAATATCGACTACCACGCTTCGGTGTAAATTTGTTTCCATTTATCTCGCCTCCAATTTCTGGAGAGAGAAATGCTTCTTTAGGTGGAATATGTCGATGCTTCCAAGTACATTTATATTCCACAACAACATCAGGGCAGTTATCTTCACAACTACATGTACGAATGTTGTCAACACTAGCTCCGCCAAAGGGCTTTTTTCTTGAAGGCAAAAATCCTTTAGAAAGAAGGGACAGCTTGTGGTGTTTTTTTTGCATTCAACTTTGTAATAACTGAGGTGCGCACTGTCTTCATGCTTCAAGCCCCAATCTCTGCGATTTTGAGGATTTTCATTAACAGTTAAGTTCGAAGAACAGGTTTGCTGGCATGTTATTTTTTTAACTAATGATGATACATTTCTTTCTAACCCTTTATCCAAACTGTTCTGCATATTCACAGATTGTTGTGCTATGGATCCAGTGATGAAGCCTGATTTGTGTTTATACCATCCCTTCGATTTCCATTGTTTCACTGTTGACTTACTGACAGTGTCTATTTCCTCCTGGGTATGAGTAAAGTCAGCAAGAATGTCCACAGAAGATTCATTGATAAAGTTACCACCTCTCTTGTCACAGACATGTCGCAACTTCTGCTCCATGATACCATACATTTCGTCCGATTTAATCGGGGGGTTTTCAGACTTTAGACTATTTATTGAAGTGTTACCACTAGATTTTTGAGGTTGGCTGTACAGCTTGGTGAGTAGGGTAAAATGGTTGGTCTTATACCAGTTTTCTCCAACGATTGTGTGAACGTTTGTATGGCATCATTTGTTGGTAAATCTCGGTCATTTTCATGCCTGACATCAACATCGATGTGTTCGCAGTGGACATGTTCATTCTTATGTTTTCTTAGCGGCTGCTCGCATTTTCCAATTTCCAGGACATTAACATCACATGGTCTGCTGTCTGTTGTGGGTTTCTTTGTCCATATACACGGTACGTTGGTTGGACTGTCGTTGTCACGCGTGTTCAATAAGTCTTCCAACGAATATATTAGAGCAGCAATGTGTTTGCAGCCTAATCAACCCGCCACCAAAAAAATCCACCAAGATCCTACCAAGAATAACCTAAGCCAGAAATCGGAGCATACTTCGCAGAGTGTGGTTTCTGAGGCTGGTCAGTCGCCTGATGATTTTATTGGAGTACAGCGTAAACGTGGTAAGACCAAGAAATTGTTCGTAACGGGAATTGCCGAAAGTGTAAACGAAAGTCAAATCCTTTCTTACCTCAATCAAAGAAATATTTTCCCCACTTATATCTCGGTTTTTCGAAGCCGCTGTCGAGAGACGCTTTCGTGTAAACTCCATATACCCTCAGGCGCCAGTGCACTGGTGGAGAAGAAAAACGTCTGGCCCACGTTTGTTACTTGCAAACCATGGCGACCAAAAGATCATGACATGAACACAACTCTGAAGAAAATAAACTCGACCCAGAATGCGAGCTACTCAACCCTTGTATAATGGCGGAGACACCCTTGCAAAACATTTCTACAGTACACGGTATGGGAAGGTCTAGAAGACAGCATTTCGGCCGACTCAAACCAATGCGTACTCGAAATCACAGTAACCTTGTTAAAATCCCTATTACCAAAATTCATTCTCCAAGAACTGAATTCGTTCCAAAAATTATGCAAACTAATGTCATGTCTCTAGTTCCTAAGCTTGACGAGCTACGTATTTTGACCTCTGCACAAAGTTTTGATTTGGGTTTTATAACTGAAACTTGGCTGCGAGAGTCCGTTTGTGACACCCATGCGACTTTATTCGATTACCACCTCGTGAGGCGGGATCGTAGTCTTGGTATCCACGGTGGTGTCTGCATGTACATAAAAAATTCCATCCGTTTTAAACGATTACCTGAAATTGAACATTCAGACTTTGAGGTTTTATGGACACACATTAGACCACCAAGATTACCAAGGGGAATTAACGGCATTGTTTCTGCATGCGTCTACCATCCTCCAAGTTCCAGCAATACAGATCTTTTTCAATACCTATCTGACTCACTGACACTACTGGGAAGTCTTTTTCCAGACTGTGGAATTATTATTGCTGGTGATTTTAACCACTTTGACACAAAAGATCCTTGCCGAGATTTTCAATTGAAACAATTGGTTGATAAACCAACTCGTGGTGCCAAGATTTTGGATCTTATACTTACAAACATGCATAAATTTTACGATGTACAGCCAGCCATGGTTTTCCCTCCTTTCGGATTATCAGACCATAATGTGATAATGGTTGAGCCCAAGTTAAAACATCATCAGAGATCCCAAGTAGAAAGACAGTAATAAAAAGAGACATTCGTCAATCACGCAAAAAAGAACTTGGTCGATATCTGAGTAACTTTGACTGGCAACTGATCGATTCCTCCGAACCGTGCGATAAAAACACTGTGATGTCTTATGCTCCGCAATGCATCTGATGCATCGCAACGACAACCCATGGATAACCGAAAAATTGAAACAGCTGATCAATTAAGTTTCGACAACGTGCGTTTTCAGCTAATAACACTACTCTTTCCAAATTCTACCGAAATAAAGTAAATAGAATGAGAAAATCTTGCCGGGTAGACTACTTCGCTTCAAAAGTTGCTAATCTGAAAAAGTCTAACCCCAAATCTTGGTGGACAGAGGTTAAACGTACACTGTTAATTTCGAGGAGTCAAATTGACTCCAAAAGTGGAGTAAATAAAAAAGATACAGAACGACTCCTTTTCTGGAGTAAATTTTACTCCTTTATTTACTCCATTTTTGGAGTAAATTTTACTCCCTAAGTAGAGTTGTTTTTACTCCTCAAAGAGTAAAAACAACTCTACTTAAGGAGTAAAATTTACACCAAAAATGGAGTAAATAAAGGAGTAAAATTTACTCCAAAAAAAGAGTCGTTCTGTACCTTTTTTATTTACTCCACTTTTGGAGTCAATTCGACTCCTTTGGAGACAAAATGACTTCTATATATCGGAGTAAAGAAAAGTCTTTAACTAACTTTAGAAATCAATAAAGACATTTTTCGAGACAAAATAATTTATTATCCCTACAAGTAAGGTATATTATAGCAGGAAATACAATTTGCTGTAGCATAATATAATGATATACTCTTACACCCTATAATAGTTAATGAAGTTCTAAAATGAAATTTTGATTAGAATGATATCATGAATACATGCGGAATACAATTACAAGCCTGTCAGCATGAATTGAACCTGCAGCCCTGCAATTCTACCACAGCCCTCTGACCTAAAGAGCCCTTTTGTCAAGAGGTAACCACAAGTTGCTGTATATATACCATGGTGGTGTCATTGGTAGTGTATTAAATAAACTGCCCAGGATGACACTAGTATTATATACATGAACTCTTGGTTACAGTAGAGCTTGATTGACTCTCAGGTCGATGGACTCTTAGGGCTTGAGGACCCTTGACGGTTAAAAAGCTGATCAGAATCACAGGGCAGCAGGTTCCATTCCCAGCACAGTACCGGCTATTACACAGTTATCATTCAAAAAATTTACATTTACAGAAAAGCTTTAACCCATTAAGTGGCAGCACTCTCTCCTTAATGAGCAAAAATTGTCTGACCACATTAGACAGAAAAAATAAAAAAGTAAAGCACATTGCCACTTAAAGGGTTAATATTCTGTTCAATGTAGAATATTTACAAGTAAAATATACTGCATGTATTAAATGTACATAGTGTCACTTCTCAATCAAACATGTCAAGCAAGTCCATTAGTAAAAATTTAGTACAAAACAAGCTGTATACCACAAGTCGGCAACTCCATCCCTTGCATGGTTTGGTAATTCACAAAAATGCTCTCCAGCAAAAGAATAACATTTTCCAAATAGACCATGAAGTTCTTAGAATGCCATTAATGATTACATATAATACCACTTGTTTAGACAACTTGCCTTCTCCTGGGAAGCATTTGTTAAATCCATATATTAATGACAATCCCTAGTAAGAAAAAATATATAAGGTTGATATATAACAGCAGCAAATTATTGATTGATGTTTGTGATGTTACTCTGAGTGTGCATCCACACCGGGCAAGCTGAAAAGTTAGTTTGGCCACGGTGGGAATCGAACCTGCGGCCTTTGGGATACTAGTCCAATGCTCTGTCAACTGAGCTACATGGTCAAGTCTGTTCGAGTTGATGATATTTTGCAACTGAGTCTAGTTCCTTCGATATCAGTGTACAGGGGTATTCAATGATACGATTATTTTGTGTGTGTTGGTGTCATGTACTCAGGTGAATATATGATGTTTGTGATGTTACTCTCACTGAGTGTGCATCCACACTGGGCAAGCTGAAAAGTTAGCTTGGCCATGGTCACAGGTTCGATTCCCACTGTGGCCAAGCTAACTTTTCAGCTTGCCCGGTGTGGATGCACACTCACAGTAACATCACAAACATCATATATTCACCTGAGTACATGACACCAACACACACAAAATAAAAATTATTGATTGATTGACAATACATTTGCTATTTTTGGTTGTTTGCATATACAAAGCAAGAAATACAAAATTCAAATGCTTTTACTCATTTAATGTAAGCATGCAATTGAACTAACATCATCCAAATGAATACAACTTTTCTGGTAAAGGGTGTTTAAAATAGAGGTGCATAATTGACCCACAATTCATTGTCCCAAAATCTTGCTAATGCCAAGCTAGGGTTTTCCATATAAATTATATACAATCACCAAAGATTTGGCACAGTATTACCCCTGGGCCCTGGGTAAAAAGATCTCTGTGATTGTTTTTGTCAGTTTATACATGTAATGTAATGTAATGATTTATTTAGAGTCGTATACACAGGATGCGGTTACCCAATCATCCGAGCCGGAGGCTCATGTAAAAAGTGCACGAGACTGTCTGCAAAAGTATGAGTGATTAATCACTTGTTGGTTCACTTTATTGGGAAATGTGCTTCTACTATATAACTCAGTCTGGGTGATTTGTTTTGGCAAGCCTGCCAATCTAAAGAGGCTCATGTAACCAGACATTCACCCAGGGAAAGCGAGCTATAGCCAGGTTTCCTGGGTGGCTCGGCTCTATATAAGCAGCCCCTTACACATGTTTTAGGCTTACTGATAGCCGATAGGAGGGCTACCATAGCAAGCACATGCCATACACTGGGTAATATTAGATGAGCTATTGCAATGCTGTCAAATGTGACTGTGCACATTTCAAACAGATCACATAGGCTATATATTAAAGTATACATATTTAACACGAAATACAACATACATGTATATCACACAACTAAAGCCCCGTTTACACGAGCAAATTTTATTCGACAAATTTCATATGTCAGAGATATTTTGCTCGTGTAGATGATAAATTTGTGACAAATTTATTGTGACAAATGCATTTGATTTTGATGAAATGAAATTTGTCAAATAAAATTTGCTCGTGTAAACGGGGCTAACAACACATATAAGTAGAGACTGTAGATTAGACTTATGGACTTCTGCTAATACAAATTAATCGAATATTAAAACTGAACGTCTAGATCGGCAAATCGGCGGCGAAGCGACTAAAATACAGGCCTTCGTCTTCGATTTAAAAATATAACTATACAGTATATCAAGTAACTTTCCGCACACAAATAAGTAAATACACAATAAACATACCTTTGAAAACAAATTCCATTCTAATAGAAGCCGATATACGGTCCTATAATACATCAACGGCATCAATCTGACTTGGCAACATTCGAGTAACCAAAAACGTAAAATTAAAAAAAAAGACTTTATATCACGAACTTTGTGCTTTTCGCATCTGACTGGCAATACTTTAATAGAGTATAGTCTCCAGCAGAAAAACTCTTGGATTCTCAGGCACATTAATTATATATTGTAATAATTTACTCCAGATCCAAAACAATTTTACTCTTTTTTGGGAGTTGAAACGACCCCTGGAGTAAAATTAAGGAGTACAAATTACTCCATAATTTCTACTCCTAAACGCGAGTTTAGTTTACTCCTCCAGCGGAGTAAAATTGACTCCTGATGGAGTAAATTGTGGAATGCGCGCCAAAGTGGAGTAGTTTTAACTCTATTTTGGGAGTAGATTTTACTCCACTATTTTTACTCTCCCGAGTTGAGTAGTTTTAACTCCTATGGTGGAGTTAAAATAACTCCTTGAAATTAACAGTGTATCTCCGAAGTATCTCCGGTATGAGACCTGTATCTGGAAGTTTGCTTAACCAACTTCATGTCGAAGATACAGAACATTTAACACACAAAGGTTTTGCAGATTTAATTAACAAAAGCCTAATAGAACCAGTGAATACTTATGATCTCTTAAATGTCACAGATTTGAGGAAAGCAGATATACAGGGTGTATCAAAAAAAACTGAACAGATTTAAAATTGCCCTCAATTTTGCAAAACAGCTATTTGTATCTGGTTTTTTATATGTATAGCTTCTTTGGGTACTTATAATGTAAAATAATGAAAAAAAATTCTCGAACTCAAATTTTGTGAACCAGGGGGTGTGTCTTTTCCAACAAACTAAAAATGGCTCGCGCACAAAATTTAAAAACTGCAATCATATTTTGAGTTAACAGATGGAAAATTTGTCGGGATTTTAATTACTGGACAAAATTTCAGACAATTTGGTTTAGTTTAAGCCCCTTAACTATTCACGCAAAGTTACAATTTTCCCGAAAAATCAGCTATTTGCATGCTTAATTAATGCATTTGCCTAATTGGCATATGTCAGCAATATGCAAATTAGGTAAAGGCATTAATTAAGCATGCGAAAGGCTGACTTTTTAGAACAAAATGAATAGTTAAAGGGCTTAAACTAAACTAAATTGTCTGAAATTTTGTACAGTAATTAAAAACCCGACAAATTTTCAATCTATCAACTCAAAATATTATTACAGCTTTTAAATTTTGTGCGCGAGCCATTTTTAGTTTGTCGGAAAAGACACACCCCCCTGGTTCACAAAATTTGAGTTCGAGAAATTTTTTTCATTATTTTACATTATAAGTACCCAAACAAGCTATGTATATAAAAAACCAGCTACAAATAGGTGTTTTGCGAAATTGAGAGCAATTTCAAATCTGTTCAGTTTTTTTTGATACACCTTGTAGAACCGTAATATATTATATTATATTATATTATATTATATTATATTATATTATATTATATTATATTATATTATATTATATTATATTATATTATATTATATTATATTATATTATATTATATTATATTATATAGTAATATATTATATTCGATCACAATAATTTTACATACACACTTTCGGCATACAAGTTCTAAATATTAGAAGTCAGATTTAGTCTCACCTTGCAGGTGTTATTAGCAAAGCGCTTATAAGCGCAGGTCTGTCTTCCTGGACGTTCGTATATGTTTTCTATTCCAACTTCGCGTGCTGTCTTCCCGACCACAACTCGATTCAACAACAAAATCTCGCTTGAAACGTCTTCTTGAGAGTTTAAGCGCCTTAAGCGCCAAAAAATTTAACTATTAAACTTGAGAAGTTTCCGAACAGTTCCCGATTTAAGCCATTTCCATAATATTGCGCAACAAAAACATGGCTACGTGGCTCACCGTGGCTCACGTGATAAAATCTCGACCTGTGATTGGCTTGACACGCTCCATGCACCGTGGCTCAAAGTGGCAAGAAGTTACTATATTTAGAGTAACATCAGGAACGTGGCTCAAAATCGCAGTCGCATTTTACGAACTTTATCCGAACTTACAAATTAACAAGACGCTTGCTAAGCGTTTACTCGAGTTAAGGGATTTAGGCGCCCGCTTGCGAAGCAGGCCTCCCGGGTTCAAGCACCATAAGCAACAGTTTTATTCCAAAGCCAAAAATTTTTTTTCAACTTCTTTTGAGTATGATTTTCAGCTTAGGTCTTAGGATTAGGAGTTAGGGTTGTGTGTGGGGTGGGTTTAATTTTTTTAAGAGAATATTTTTAACAGTTTAGCAGTTTAGGACTAAATTTCCTGACTGCCGCGGGCAAACTGCCCGGCTGCCGATGCCCCGATGGAATTACTATTGTTCTCAGTAAACAGCGAAACGACCGTTTTTACGAAGGACATATTTGTGTACCTCGTGATCACAAATCGTTGCAAGCGGCGTGTGAAAAACTGCAAGTTTCAGTTTGACAGTTTTGACAGTTAAATTAGTTTCTAATTTTATTGTCCAATCAGATGCGTAGTTTTGAATTTTAAATCAAAACTACGCACCTGATTGGACAATAAAATTAGAAACCATTTAACTGTCAGAACCGTCAAACTGAAGCGTGCAATTTTTCACACGCCGCTTGCAACGAATTGTGATCACGAGGTACATAAATATCCAGACATAATATTTTTCAGAAACTTTCCCATTAATGTATCGTAATTTGTTACTCTTTGCTGAGTCCGTGATGAATGGGGGCGAGGTATTACATCCCTCGCCCCCCCTCCCCCCCCCCCCACACACACATACACCCCGATCGATTAGCTACGCCCCTGGATGAACAAAGAGAAGGTCACGAACGAAGACTTACTTTGCAAGATCAGAGACTAAAATATAGGCTTTACCTCGGTGTAAGAACCTCACGGGAGACGTTACACAACTCAATAGATAAATAGATATGCTGTGAATAAATTTAATTGGTCTTGTGGTTCACTTGGTTCTTGTGGTTGATTTGGTTCACGAGAACTCTTAAACTGAGATACAGAAGAGACCAAACGATACGCTCTTAGAAGTAGATCCTACTAAATTTTGTAAATCATTTTGAAGAAATTAATGTGTTTTAAACTAAATTTTTGTGGGCATTTTTGCTCGCAAAGCTATATTTTAATGTACACATTACAACGAGTCTCCCACTGATGTTACTGCATCAAGCAGGGCGCGGAAGCAAGAGAAGCCAAGGTCAATGCAGTAATCTATCATCTAGCAAACGGCGCTCTCATCTAGCAGACACAAAACCTACCAGATGGATCACGGGAGATAAAGGCAGTGACTATAATGAATCGGGTATATTGAAACATTTCAAACAAGAGACGATATATACTAGAAGCATAACTTTGTAAACGTTTTGAAGAAATAAATGCGTTTTAAAACTATATTTTTGTGGAAATTTTTGCCCGGAAAGCTATGCGCCCGATTTGAAGGTTCACGTCACAAAATTTAAGGTCCATGTTTCCCCACCCGCCGAAATAAACGCCTGCTTTTAAATCTTGCGAGCTCGGTTCGAACCAACAACCTAAGGAACTACAGCCCTCCGCTCTATCAACTGAGCTATCGTAAGAGAGTATTATTACAACTATTAAGACTGTTTGTTAAATTGTTCTACAAATCACCGATTGAGCCACATAAAACTCAGTGAAATTAAACACAATCCACACGCTACTCTATTGTAATGTACGGTAACGTAACCATGTAAAGGAACCAAATTGTAACGCGACTTGGTAACGCACCTAAGATGTCGTATGGTAACGTCACTGAGTTTTGTGACAGGTAACATCACCATGTAACATAATCTAATGGTAACGCAACTTGGTGACGCAACGCTATTGTGACGTTGCATACTAATTACTTCCGCCGCTAGAGCCGATGCTATCTGAACGAGGTGATGTCATATATTTTGCATACTAATTACTTCCGCCAGCAGAGCCGATTCTATCTGAACAAGGTGACGTCATAGATTTTGCAAGATCTCTTTGAAGATCAAGATTTTCTCATGTATTTTGCGCAAATTACCAAAGCAAGATCAAAAAATATGTCGAAGTATTATACCTCTCTGTTATCAAATCCACGCTGAAAATAATACAACAACAGCCAGCTAGTCAAAGGAATAACAAGTACAGTGTCTACGTACTAATTATACGGTAAATAACTCAGTCACAGAGACTCAGCCTGTTTCTCTGATATCAATTATATTTATAGACATGCAATAGTCAATAATAGACACCGCATAATAAATATAAATTTGATAAACACGGCTTGAATTGTGATTTGTGACATTGCCATTGGCTTTACTGTGATCGATGTTCTTTATACTAATATAAATACAATAGGATTTTTATTTTGTAAAGTATTTAAGTATGTACGGATTTATATAAAAGCATGCTGGCACCAAACTCTAAATGTTATGTCTATTGTATGTATGACCATGCTTATCCATTTAATGGATGTATATATTATAGGCTAAATATAGCTATATTGTAATAAATTTCATTCGTGTATATCAGAAAAATTATATTTTTATACTGTATATATTGCTGTTATTCTTTTGATTGATTCATGCATGCATGGAGGCTACTATCTGCAGCCGCAAAAAGAACAGCGCATGCATGCGTATTGCCCATTGACATTGAGTCCCGAGGCTGAGGATTTTTTACATTCACCTGAGAATTTTTCTACTTTACTACGTAACGTATACCCACTCTCCTAAAGTTTTCAATAAAAACGATGAACTACATTCAAAGATAAATCACAGACAGTTTTCCTGTTTTAGTTTTATTACCTGTAAAGTAGGCATTCTATCTCATTTAGCTAGAGGCCAAATGTTTCATATTGGCTCACAAACTCGTGATATAGTTACTTTTGAAAATTATCAACCTTCAACACTACAAGACGCGTAGCGGCAATTTCAAGTTAATCGGTTCAAAGCCTATCAACATTTGCAAACAACAATTAACAAATCTAATGGCATATTTTTAATATAAATATTAGAAATATAAAAACAGTATACTGAAACAACTGTCAACTGACCATAGTGACAGATTTGATACGAAACATCTTGAAAGCATGTGATTTTCTAGCTTTGTCGACTTAACTGTTGACAAAATTTTAAAATCTTTTAATTTGTAATTAAAAAGCAAACAGAAAAACACAAAAATTAGCTAGCAGGCATTTCGAACCATATATCGCAAAAATGACGAAATAATATTTTAGATCACTCTGATCCACTCCATGTAATGGAAATGTAACGTTGTTTGTGGAAGCATGCAATTTGATACTCTGCCCTCCCCCCTTAGCCAATATATTTTTATAAAGTCACGTGACCAGCCCCAACCAGGGTCTTTCCAATAGGTAAGACCTTGGGTATGAAGTTGATGGCTATGACAAATCTGCTTTCGCACATTAAGGATGATTGACGTTTTGTAATTAGCACCTTCACCCATTATCCAATCATAATCGAGATTTATACTTAGCATCATGCATGCTTTTTGCCACAGAATAGATATAGGGCAGAAGGTTCACTCAAGGGTAAAAAGTGTACCAGAACAGTGAACTCTAAGGGAACTGGAACGATAACTTGGCGGCCATCTTTGAAGCCACTCATGACGGCCGCCATGTACGTATGGAGTGGAAAATACGCCACCTAAAAGATGTCTGTTTTCGACCACTAAATAGCTGTATTTCAACAAGGAAAACAGCTAAAAACTTTCAACAATACCTGAAATTTTATACAAAACCTCTTTCCAGAACGTAAAGTACTTTTTCTTGCTGATTTTCGCTCAAAAACAAACTTTTGACTGAATTTCCCGCTCCTCGAAACTCTCCCAGTTCTTTTGAAAGTTAATTTATTGCTCGCTGAGCTCGCCACAGGCGGCCCAATCTCTGAACGTCCTATATATTTTGAATATTTAACCGTTATAATATTTTAAAATAACAAAATAATTCAAAAAATATTAACAATATATGTAAAAAATATATCTCACTTGTTAATAGAATCCATTTGTTGTGTTTCTGAGTCTAGTTGATGCGATTGCTTTACGTTTTCGTCGTACTTGAACGGTCGTCAGTACTATGGCACTGGACGACATGGCCGTATAGGACATAAATAACTACAAGGCTAGCCACTTATCTGATATACTCTCCGACATCGAGCCCAATATCTCGCCTCAGAATCGTCGCAGAGCAATAAATTTAACATCGTCTAATAGCACGAACGTTCCTCTTTCGAAAGAACTTGGTTTCTTCACCATTGCGGTAATTCCAGCGACACACGACGAATTTGTTTGTCAAAAGTCCAAATTTCCATTTTCGAAAGAGGCGCTAACCCCATCATCGTCGCCACGAGAGCTGCTCAGTCCTATAATTGGCCATATACACGCCAATCTCGAAACCAGAGCCCGAAATCCTCTGTGGAGGCTTGCTGAGGCTCTGGGAAACACCGGCGACTTTTGCACGAAAATCAGTACATTTGGATCCAGTACTCCGCTCGACATTTATAAATAGACATTACTGCCATCAAACATGAATTACGCCGTTGTTTAAGCTTATTACGACTTTAATTATTCAAAGAACACTTGCCATGGTTTTGAATTGTTGTAAGATACTGGTAGTGATTTATTTTAACTTGTTTAATTACGGGAAATCATGGATTGTTGTGTTATTTTAAATATTATTGGCAACGGCTTATCATGACCTTATATGGTAATGCTGCACTGTTGTTATTCTAATTTTGTTATACATAGCATATCAATATCAGAAATAGAATAGTCTTTTGATTTCATATGAGAAGCTAGGAAAGCTTAATAAGTTTATTAATGTTATGCTGTGTGTTTCATTGATATGTTTAAACATAATACACAAAGAGAAATAAACTTTATATTAATTTTAAACGATGTTTGAAATCCGAATAACTAAATACGGCTCAAAGTTTGAATAATAATTAGCACTTGAAAAACTTTGAGGGCCGCTTGGGCCTGGGGACGAGGATGTTGAAAAACAACCAATCAGAGCCCGACTTTCACCGGTGTTTCCCAGAGCCTCAGCAAGCCTCCATAGAGGATTGCGGGCTCTGGTTTCGAGATTGTATACACGCGCGATGTTTATATTCCACATAAGGAGTGAATGGAAAATATTTATATAGAATTCGAAAACGTTTCAACAAATTTGCGACTTTTATGAAACCAAATCCACCTATTAGTAAATTATTGAAACATATAAAACAACAATAGAACGCGGAAAGAATATTACGCCAACAAGGCTGCCCTAAAAGTGCGTTTGTGTGATATTCAGTGCAGCACGCTGTGATCAAATCGACATGTGCTGTTGTCTGCTGCGATGTCTTTTATATTCAGGTAAATGTTTTGTTTATACTTGGGTTTTAACTGTCGTTAAATATTGATTTTGGTCAGAAATTCTACGCTGGGATTCTATTGCATTGGATTATGCTGACTATGTATTTAATATTTATTTATCAGATCTGATCGAATATTCCTCCCAGGCAAAGAAAGTCAAGAGATTTGAAACCATAACTACAATTTACTGTTAATATTTTATTGATGCGCTATTATTCAAGACGGCTTCATAACTTTATTTTTATTTCTACTGATTTATTTTACTATATACAATTGTTTGTAATCTATAATCAGATATCTGAATATAAATCTTTATAACATTGTATGTCATTTCACATAGCATGAATGTTGTATAAAATTATAGAACTTTCAAACTAGATAAATTTTGTATATGCATGCAAATTTTTATTTTAGTATTGGAAAACTTTCATACTGTAGGCTGAAACATAGTACTATGAGGTATAGTCATTATCATGACAGTTGAGTTGCCTTGGAACTCTTACGATTTTGTGATATACACCCACAGTACATGAAGTTATACCTCAAGAAGTAATAAAGATGAAAACTGTATAATCTGTATAGTTACTATATTATTTTCATTAAAAACAATGCATGGTAGTATCTTTTAGCATTCTGGAGGTGACAATGAGCTTCAATATCACAAGATTTGTCTTGTGATATATTGGAATTAGTCTTGGAATATGTCTTGAGACCTGACAACTCAGAACTGCCATTAATTAAATTGTTAACACTAGCTGACATTGTACATTATATTATTTTATACCATGATATTCTAGTAAGAAGTGTATCCAACATACAATAGTGAAATCAAATGTTGACTAGGCAACAACCTTCTATTATTCCATCTGCCATAATTAAACCCCTATTTTCCCCCCTCTAAAGTCTAAAACAGATGTAAGTGCCCACAGCCCCCACCCACCTTTCTAAAACAGAAATGTATTACACCCCCCTCCCCCCCCCCC